AATTATATTGCGAATAGAGGTTGTGTATGTCTGTATCAGCCTTCGTATTCTATACTGGTCGGTTCGGTCGTAACTACTATAGTTGTTAGTTAGTTGTCTCACCTCTACGTTTCCCTACTATATATATATATATATATATATATATATATATATGAACTCAGTTAGATCGGGTACAATCGAACTGAGACCCACGATATCCCATTTTACTCCCTATTGATGCCTTACTTGGATGCCACTGTCTTCCACCTCTATTGCGGAAAGTTCCTTTTATTGCTGAAATCAGTTATCAGCATTGCTGTCAAGCAGAATAGGGCCATCAGGGGGTCATATTCTATTTTTTTTAGAAAATATGAGTATTGTATAATTGTATAGCATTTTTTGGGCCGTAATGGGCCACCATTTTTGTGCCACTTTGGGTTTTTGTACAGCGGCCCCCCCCCCCCTCCCGGATTTATGGGTGCCTAATACCAGTGTGTCCTCTTCTTTTAATACAAGTTAAGCATATTAGACACAAGTTATAACTATTGTATAATTTGAACTGCAATGTACTAGGGGTCATTTTCAAAGACTGGTTTTTTATCTATTTCAATCCATTTTACTACTCTTTGCTATCCGTACAAGTAGTTTCCCTTGAAATATTTATACCTATTTCCTTGCTGGACAATTATCCTTGAAAGCTTCAAACATATCATGAGACGATTATGAAATTGGTAAAACTTCATCAGTGATCTCAAAAGCGCCTCAAATATGCAATGGAAAATATTCACAATACAAGAAGTGAGTTGTGACAGTAGTGAAGGGGTGATGAGTGAAGGGGCAGAGGGATAAAGCACAGATGGAGGAATCAGAAGATTAGGGTGGCAAAGGGCCAAAGGGTGCATGTGGAAATTTCTTTAGAAGAAGATGGGGCAGTATTGAGGTTGTTGGCTATGGACGAAGCAGGAGTAGCTTTGGTAGGTGGCTTTTTGGGTGGATTGGGATTTTGAGTGCACAGCTGAGTTTTTTAGTTCAAAATGGGAACCTCCAAGGGAAGATGCCAAAGGAAAGGGAATTATATTAGAGATGGTGTAAATCTTGCATGAGCAATTGGGGATTGGGTTGTTGCCTTATAACAAGTGTTTAGGTGCTATTTGTGGAGTCCTTATTTTTTCTTCAGGAATTTAGGTAGTTGAATTACTACTAGGCTATGTTGATGCTATCTGAATGGCGGCATTGATGTCATCACTGTATCTCATCTTCAGCAGATCTTACCGCGTTAGTTTTAGATGAAGGATCAGGCACCTGTGATTTCTGGGGTGTATGTTTGTTTTCTACTAGTCCCATTATGACTCAATACAGTTTTTTGAAGGATCTTATTTAACGTACTTGACCCTTAGATGAAGCTGTTTAATACACCTTGGTGCTTGATATGAAGTATTTATAACATACCATGGATATTAATTTTCTCCTAGTACCATTATGACTCAATAGAATTTTTTGAAGGATCTTATTTAACATACTTGACCCTTAGATGAAGCTGTTTAACACACCTTGGTGCTTGATATGAAATATTTATAACATACCATGGATATTACTTCCTGGTCGGAATTAGGACTTGAAATTCTTAGTGGGATGGCTTTTGTCTTTTGTTTCCTCAACTGCATCTTACATATTTTATTTGTACATTCTCTGGTTGTAACTCTCAACTCCATTAATTTTTTTAATCTGAAAGAAGGTTTTTTATTCTTACTTATCCAGACATCTAATCAATATTGACCCATGGATTGGTTTATGTGTTCCCCCTTTGCTCTTTATTTGGATGCATGTTCAAACTTAGAAGTTATCTATGCATAAATGGTCCATCTTATTCCTTTTAGGCCCATCTTACAAAGAAAGAACAAATGACCTTTTACGTCATATTAAAGAGAACTTGTAACATAATAGTAGACATTCTTACATTACCTGTGGGTATCAGAAGATCATTCCAAGAAAAAGGAAATAAAATTTACTCTTTGACACGTAATTGTCATTAGAATTTGTAATGCTTGTCCTGTTAATAGAAATATCTGTTGTGCAGGTTGCACAGGTTTCTCTCACCTTTCTTTTCTCCTTTATTGTTTAGGAAGAGGTTGCACATGAAGCTGAGACTGGCAAAATTTACAGAACCGACTATACGGACAAGTATGGGAGGAGTGTTCTTGTCATGAGACCTGGTTGCCAGGTTTGAAATCTGTGTGTGTGGTTTAGAGAGAGAGAGAGGTTGGGTGGGTGGGTGGGTTATTTAAAGGTTTTTGGAATGAATCATATAGCAGAACATTGTTGTTTATTTGCTTTCTTATTTGGTTTATTGCTGTAGAATACAACTTCAACAAAGGGACAAATCAGATTTTTGGTTTACTGTATGGAGAATGCAATTTTAAACCTGCCTCCAGATCAAGAACAGATAGTCTGGCTTATTCATTATCAAGGTTTCAACATGTCAAGTATATCTGTGAAGGTCGCGCGAGAAACAGCACATGTATTACAAAACCGATACCCTGAGAGATTGGGTCTAGCAATCCTGTATGACCCACCAAAGTTTTTTGAACCTTTCTGGACGGTATGTTTGGAGCTCATTGATATTCAGGACTGAGACTTTGAATAAAGATTAAGTATCAAGAATGAACTGTATTAATGTTATGGATACCTGCCTAAATACCAAATGAACCACGTGTAACTACTAACCAACGTAAAAGTGATTATGTAAGCTACTTTGTGGATATGAAAGGTTTGTATGCTTGTATGTGTTACAACAGAACCAATCATGTCTTGTCACAAGGAGTCTGAAACTTTTTTTGCTGATGACCAAATATTCATTTACTTTGCATGAATTTCACGTTATCTGGTTCTCTAGTTTTTAATTGAGGAAGTATATTGTGATGGAATGGACTTCGCAAAGCCACAGTCCACTTTGGGTGATCCCATTTGTTGATTGGATAAACAACCACTTGCGGTCATCCCTTCTATTGACAGTTAATAATATGGAAATAGAGTGGGACCCACCACTGGGGTCATCTCCTGTTCTGGTGGTTCCCCCACTCAATCATTACATCCTTTCATCAGATTGTAATGACAGGATAGAGAGTAATGGAGAAAGCGGGACCCAGCACTTTGGTAATGCTCTGTTTTGGTAGGTCCTGCTCTCTCCACCACCCCATTATTGGATTTTGACAGCCCCAATGGACTATGGTCTTGCATGGTATATCTGAGTATATTATGCTTCTTTTCTGATAATTTATCCCATTTGAGCTTGTATCCAACAAATGGCAGGTGGTGAAGCCATTTCTCGAGCCAAAAACTTGCAGGAAAGTGAAGTTTGTCTATTCTGACGATCCAAACTCACATAAGATTATGGAGGAAGTCTTTGACATGGACAAGCTTGAATGCGCTTTTGGTGGGTTCAACCCAGCAAGCTTCAACTTTAAGGAGAATGGTGAAAGAATGAAAGAAGATGATAAGAAGACGGCTTTGTATTGGAAAGGTGAGCTTGGGCCAGGAACATCTCAACCTCCATCCATAGGCATGCCACCACCTTTGGAGTCAGGTGATTCAGAGTTGGATTCCGATGGTTCGGTGAATATGCGTTCAGAGGAAGGCTGTTCTCACAAGGGGTCTTCTTCCAAACCTCACTTTGACGAAGATGGGTCACAGGAAAATGATGAGAAGTTTCTGGAAAATGGCATTGACTTGCCGGAAAGTAACAGTCAAGAGAATGGCGTGACTGATGTAGCAAATCTGCAGTCACATATCCCAGGTTTAAGCCTGGGATCGAGCACAAGAAATGCGGCATGAATTTCTCTGCAATGACTTTTCTAACAGTTTAATTGAGTAGTTTCAGTTTTGTTTTTTCCTTCTTTATTTTTCTGTTTTTTTCACACATGCTATCTATATTATCTCCATCGGAGAGATTGAGGTTAATTTATGCTGATAGTGAAGGTGAATGACATGATTTACATGACCAGAAATCATGAGAAGGCCTTTTTCTCCTGTTTACAAGTCCGTATGATTGGCATGTGGGAGTGATTTCTTGAATATAGAAAGCAGCAAAATTGGAGAAAATGAAGGAATGCTAATCCTATATCTGGCTTCCTTCCACCGCCTATAATGAACAGTTGCCTCTATGCAGTAGTTTTCCACTTGGCAGTCCAGGTATATTCGACCTTACACTCATTTGATAATGTTATCTGCATATGCATGGATCATAAGTGGAAAGATGTCTGGCTAGTCCTTCCTCATAACTGAAATATTTTCAATTTCAATATTCAGAGCTATACATTTATATTTCCTGTTAGGCAAGGGAAGCGTTTTGGTATTGTGCCACCCACATTTACAACAAATGGGATTGCCTACAAATACCCTTTTGTAAAAGGAGGTCCCTCAAAGACCCATCTCTCTCTCTCTCTCTCTCTCTCTCTCTCTC